TTCTTGGATTTTCTTCTTCATGAACCACACTGCTGTATTAACAGGATGCCAGCTTTCAACAACTTTCTTGCATGGATGCCTTGCCAATTTAGTAATTTGGAAAGGATGCTTCTCCATTTGCCTTATAAATAACTTGTTAAATTAGCAATTGTGCTCTTTTCTTATTATTTTCAGCTCCAGTTTAACTGTTGCCTTTACTAAAGTACTATTGTTGCTTCATTTTTTAATGTATTATTTGGGTTTATATTCTGCTCCAAGAATCTACATAGGTATACCTATGTTTTTGAATGGAATGGGCCACTATGGCCAACTTGCCATGGCCAACTCTTCTTCCCTGTACCTTATTAACAACCCAGGAAATGTTTTAAGTTCATTTACAAGAAAAGTTTCATCCTTGCATTTATTGTGTGTTTAAATGATTTTACCTGTTCATCTTTCTTGAAGGATGTGAATCAAGACCCCATTTCTCATCTGTGATATCCCAATAATGTTACCAGCAATACTGGTGGTTTTTTTCCCCAAACTCTGCCTGCAAGCTATCTACCCACACACACATACCCTTACCTCTAATCCTCCAACAATGCCTTTTCTGTGGGGGAGGGGACCTTGTTCTCATGTCTTTCAGCCCTGCACAGATGAGCAGAGCACATGGATCCAGATGCCTCCTGAGGAGACCTTCCATCCATTTGAGCCATGGAATTGGGTTTGAATCCAGTCCTCCACTGAAGGTCACCACAGCAACCAGAGTGAAGCCTGACTCACCAGCCTTACCACCAAACCAAGCATGCCACCCTGGCAGACATGGAAGAAAGGACCCTGAGATGAAGAAGTAAAGACCCAAAGACTCTTTTCAATTCCCAGAAGACAGCTGTAAAGACTATGGGGGAGGGTGGAAATTAATTGTAAAGTTTTGTTTCTTTACTTCCTTCACAGAAATTCATTGTAAGGTTTTCTTTCTTGTCTCATTTATATTGTAATCAGTTTAATGTACTCATGTAAGAATTGTATTTGAGAATGGCTAGCACAGCAAGTTCTGAACACCTTAGATTTCTGTCTAGTGGGAGGGAAAGTTTGTCCAAAATGTCTGTATTTTCTGTATTGTAGAAGCAGCTACATACACACACACACACAAAGAAAAAGAGAGAGAGAGAGAGAGAGAGAGAGAGAGAGAGAGAGAGAGAGAGAGAGAGAGAGAGAGAGAGAGAG